CATTGATAGGAGCCAGAGATCTTGTGCCAGTCTAATGGCAGCTACAACATGTGGACTTTTGGCTCAGCCTTCACTGTGCTTGTGTGTGTGGGCTGCTGAATGGTACTTTTCTTGCCTACAGTTGATTGGGGTCTGGTCACCTAGTTTGAGCATTGCTGAATCGTGTAAGACTATCTTTTCCATTAACCAGTATCTCATATTTCATTCAAGAGGTGTTCTTGCTGAACTTGCTTCTCTAGACTTGAGAAGTTCTTCCCTGAATTATATTTAAATTCTACCACTGAGCTATGATCACACCACTGCACCCCAGCCTGAGCAATAGAACGAGACCCTGTCTCAATTTAAATAAATAAATAAATACATTCTACCACTGAGCCTAATTCTCAACATGGGATTAAGCTTTTATTTTAAGATAATGATTAGTACTTTTTGCACAGATACGTGCTTCTGATTTTTTCGACTATCTATAGAATTGCTTGCATCAAGAATTTTCCAGAACATAGTCTCTCAGATCACAGTCTTTACCAAATTTATTTTTGTTTTGTTGTTAAATAATGTTCACATTGAACATTTGTTTTTCATTGTGACTGCTGAGAGGGAAGTTTGCATGATTTTGCTACACATTATAGATACATAGGAGAAATGGCTTTATATTAAAAAATTCTATATAGTAAGTATCTAAGTTTATAGTACAAGTATATATATATATATTTTTTTTTAATTTGGGGTCTCACTCTGTTACCCAGGCTGGAGTGCAGTGGCATGATCACAGCCCACTACAGCCTTGACCTCTTGGGCTCAGAGGATCCTTTCACCTCAGCCTCCCAAGTAGTTGGGACTACAGGCGTGCACCACCGTGTCTGGCAAATTTTTTGATTTTTTTTAGAAACGAGGTCTTGCTATGTTGCCCAGGCTGATCTTGAACTCCTGGGCTCAAGCAATCCTCTTGCCTCAGCCTGCCAGAGTGCTAATTACAGGCGTTACCCTCTACATCCGGCTTTACAAGTATATGTATTTTTAATTCTTCTAGATTCAGTTAGTAAACTTTGATTATTTTCGGTAAGCAGTTACTTTAATCATCCTGTCTAATATATACTAAAATGTAGAAAACAGTTCCCTTGAAGGCTTTAGAATTGCTTTGTCTTTGTTATTAGAAATAAAAGTAATTTAGAAATGAAATGAAATAGTTATAAGGAACTAAGCTTCCTCTAAAAGCCAGGCTGTCATAGCGTAGGCCAGGTCCACCTGGTTTTCAGCCTTGTCATGTGAAGGTAGATGTTGTTCTTTTATGATGTGCCTGAAACACCTAAGTGGTGGATAGAAACTGCTACTACCCCTTAGAGGAGCTCCTGACGCACACATGTGGGCAGAGAGCACTGAAGCTCCCAGACCATGTACCTGTCAGTGAGATATTGCTGGACATTAGAGTAAAGGACATACTTTTTGCCTTCATATCAAGGTACTGGCACTTGTCCAGAGACTGGCACTGGTGTAGAACCATGCTTGGGAGTCCCAGCTACCCTCTGGGACCTTGCAGCTTCTTCCCACTGTGAACCTCAGAGCTCCCCACCATCACTTCCCACCTGACAGTGGCGTGCAAAGAAAGATGGTAATGACCTCTGTACTTTCTTTCATTCTCAATTTAAATGTTGCAAATCTTAAAATTGCAGATTTTTGAGTATTTCGTTAATTTAACACATGGAAATTATATTTAAACTTATTAAGTGAAATAATTACCGGGTTTGTTCCTTGTTCCTATCTATATAATTCACAGTAAAAGGCCTAGGCTCAGTCTATTCTTCTTTAGCTTTCAAATTCCTTTGACAGCCTGGATGTGAAATTCAGAAGCCATTAATTTGATGTGTTAATTTTGCACTTTTTGACTTACTGTGAAGATCTTATAGTTTCCATAGCAACAATAACCTATCCAGATTGTGTAATATTCTTTACAGTATTAAAAATAAAACTATGCAATTACATGAGCTTCTGGAGCCCTACGTTTGTGGGAGCTGAGGATTGAAATGTTCTGTTGAAAAAAGGGATGGCTTCGTGTGAAAAACTTTTCAGAAAGCTTTTATAATTTTGTTAAGACTATATTATACTTAAATATTTAGTCATCGGTGCCTGGCAGTTAATTGAATTATTAAATGTATGAAATGGTGAGCATCATGTCAGAGCATCTTGGGTATGTGTTCTCTCACTCATGTACCCACACGTACAGTTAAGGCAGGGGAGACATTTGGCTGTCATTACTTTCAGTCACCTGCTGCTTATGCTTCTCAGGGGCTTCTGAGTGGTCTGAGAACAGTCTAGTTGTATGTTTAGGAGGAAACGTGATGAAAAAGGGAAAAATGATCACTTAAGCTTTCCTTCTTTTTACCTTTAACTGAGCCAAGGTCTCATTCTGTTACCCAGGCTGAAGTGCAGTGACACGATCACGGCTCACTACAGCCTAGACCTGCTGGGTTCAGGTGATCCTTCCATCTCAGCCTCCTGAGTAGCTGAGATGACAGATATGTGCCACCATGCCTGGCTCATTTATTAAGTTTTTTGTGGAGATGAGATCTCCCTGTGTTGCCCAGGCTGGTCTCGAACTTCTAGGCTCAAGCAGTCCTCCTGCCTTGGCCTCCCAAAGTACTAAGATTATAGATGTGAGCCACCGCACCTGGTGTAGCTTTCCCTATTTTTGACTTTGCTCTTTAAAACTTTGCCTGAGCTATTGCTTTGAAAAGACTTAAAGATTGTTTTAGTAGATATTTTTGAGTATCAAATTACTTGGGCTCTTATTTCTTTGATTTATAATCCTAATTTAAAAAGCAATATAATATTAGCACTGAAGTTAGTTAATAAATTGCTACATCTTATCACAACTGGTTTTTAATTTTTTTATTACTCTCAGCATAGTATAGATATATATGTTTTTTTAATATAGTACAATTAGTTTCTTAGTGTATGGTAAACATTTTCCATGTTTCTAATGACCTTCTAGCCATCATTTAAATAACTGCATCCCAGTCCTTCCTGTTGATATACCTAGTGTGTTTTCTGTTTATCAAAATGCTGTTTAATTATTTCATGAATGCCTTGTATTGGAAGAAAAATGGATATAATTTTCAAGCTGATGGTGGGAGAAAGTAACCATAAGTCAATTGTTTGCCCCAAGCATAGATGATTGTGAAAATATTCTAAAGGCAGGTAAAATAATGTTTTAAAATGCACATTATGGGAGGAGGGGGGTGAGGGATGAAAACGCACCTGTCAGGTACAGTGTATACCAGGCAGGTGATGGGTGCATGGAAGGCCCAGACTTCATCACTGTGCAGTTCCTCTGTGGAAGCCAAAACCATCTGAATCCCTACAGCTGTTTGGAAAAATATGCACATTTTGAATACCCTCTTACTGCTCTGTCTGCTAGTCAGCCCAGAGTGAGAAAAGGGAGGAGTGGCAAAGTAGAATGGGGTGGTACTGCCTTGGCATTGTCACTTGACAGATCCTCTGTGACCTGGTGATCCCTTGCTGAGGCTATAATACAACCAACAGACAGAACTTGGCGGGCACGGGTGATGGCATGTTAGAGCAGCTGGAGTGGACCGTAGCTTTGGTGTCCCGCCAGGGCCTTAGTGAGGCTGTTTTGGTGTCAGCCCCCAAGGATCCCCAGTGCTGCACCAGCCACTCTTCTGTTGCTGTTCATACTTAAAGATGTGTCACTGATATTGAACCATTGTCTTCTTGTGGTTAAGCACCTTGGTAACTGCTGGGCTTCCCCAGAATTCCTAATCTTATGTCCATTGTTTAGAAAATCCAGTTTACTGGATTTCTCCCAGAGTTCTTGAGAATGAGATGGTGGTGGCTAGCGTTTTGAAGTCTTTTAGAAGCATTTGGTTGGGGCCTTGGAGTTTTTGAATGTCCTCATTCTAGGTGAGAACCAGCATGTTTCAGTGAGTCCTTATTCTTTCTTTTTTTCTTTTTTTTGAGTTGAAGCCTCACTCTGTTGCCCAGACTGGAGTGTAGTGTCATGCTCCCGGCCACCACAGCCTCAACCTGTTGGGCTCCAGCAATCCTTCCACTTCAGCCTTCCAAGTAGCTGGAACTACAGGCGCTACCATGCCCAGCTAATTTTTGATTTATTGTAGAGATGAGGTCTCACCAAGTTGCCCGGGTGGGTCTCGAACCCATGGATTCAGGCAATCCACTCACCTCGGCCTCTCAAAGTACTGAGGTTACAGGCTGAGCCACCAAGCCCAGCCAGGTTCTTATTCTTATAAGTGCTTCTTATATTACGAAATTACTTTAAGTGAGTCTGAGAGCTTATGTCTGTTATTTTTGTTTGTTTGTTTATTTTTTGAGTTGGAGTCTCACTCTGTCGCCCAGACTGGAGTGCAGTGGCCGCTCCCGGCCACCACAGCCTCGACCTGCTGGGATCCGGCGATCCTTCCGCCTCAGCCTTCCAAGTAGCCAGAATTACAGGCATGCGCTACCACGCCCGGCTGATTTTTTTGATTTATGTAGAGATGAGGTCTCGCTGCCCAGGCGGGTCTTGAACCTGCAGGCTCAGGCAATTCACTCACCTCAGCCTCCCAAAGGCGCGGGATTATAGGCTGAGCCACCGAGCCCGGCATGTCTGTTATTTTTAAAGTGAATGTTTACAACAGAATGCTTTCATATACTCCAGATAATTAAGACAGGAGTAGAATTATCTTGCAATATGTTTGAGTTTATATTTATACTTGTTTTCTCTTCGAAACTAGTGCTGTGTTTAGTATCCTGTTGTGTTTCAGTTTTGGATCTTGTGTTTTGGCTCTGTCTTATGTTTTCATTGTGACATGAATTTCTTTTGATATTTTTTATTTCTGTAGTTGAAATATTAACAAAAATAATAAGCAATGCATGACACAGTGTTTATGTATTATCACTGAGAGATTAAGTACATTTTCATTGTTTTTGTAGTTATAATTTTGAATCTGAAAGTAACGTATGGACAATTTTTTGTTTCTGTGCAGAAAAGATGAAAAGGAGTATGCATTGAAGCAAATTGAAGGCACAGGAATATCTATGTCGGCTTGTAGAGAGATTGCAGTAAGTGGATATAAATATAGTTGTTTTATTATTGACTTGGGTGATGGTTTAATATAAAAGAGTTTTATAAATATATACAATAAATGGTTATGTCATAGATGTTAATTACTTTAAGATTATTTTTATGCAGAAAAAGAAAATCTACATAAACTTTTCAATTACTTGAAGTCATCTTTGAATATTCTCTGTGATATTTAAGATTTGGAATCTTAGAACTGCTGAACAAAACTACGATTTAATGAATTAAAATTATGATGAAATATAATTATTTTAATTAGTTTAATAAATGTCTATTTTTCTATAATTTTAGGATTGACATATGTCTTTATAGAGAAAAAGGCCATACTATTAAGTCTCATTCATTTAAAATACTTTTTCTGATTTTTATATATATAATTTAGTGATAGATTTTACTAGTTGCCAGAAAAATAAGAGCATCATAATAATAGAATAATTCCTTAAAGAAAGTTAGTTCCTTTTTCTGTTCTTAATATGACATACTGGTGATTTAAGAAATGATTGTTCATAAACATTCAAACATTTAATAAGTGTTCACTAGGTAGCAGGCTTACTAAAGGCTTTCAAGCAATTTTTTTTTTTTTGAATCAGGGTCTCACTCTCTCGCCCAGGCTGGAGTGCAATGGCAAGATCACAGCTCACCGCAGCCTCAATCTCCTGGGCTCAGGTGATCTTTCCACCTCAGTCTCCCAAGTAGCTGGGAACACAGGTGTGTGCCACCACACCAGGCTAATTTTTAAAGTTTTTTTGTAGAGATGAGGTCTCACTATGTTTCCCAGGCTGGTCTCGAGTTCCTGGGCTCCAGCAATCTACCTACCTTGTCCTTCCAAAGTTCTGGGATCAGAGGCATGAGCCATCATGCCCAGCCTATAAAATGTATTTTGATCAAGAATAATATAAAGGTAAATTTCAACTATAAAAATAAGTTCGTGGCCGGGCTCGGTGGCTCAGCCTGTAATCCCAGCACTTTGGGAGCCGAGGTGAGTGGATTGCCTGAGCCTGCGGGTTCGAGACCCGCCTGGGCAACTTGGCGAGACCTCATCTCTACAATAAATAAAAAACTAGCCGGGCGTGGTAGCATGCGCCTATAGTTCCAGCTACTTGGAAGGCTGAGGCAGAAGGATTGCCGGAGCCCAGCAGGTCGAGGCTGCGGTGGCCGGGAGTGACCACTGCACTCCAGTCTGGGTGACAGAGTAAGACTCCAACTCAAAAAAAGTTCGTTAGTAGAACATTTGTTAATCATTTTAGGTTCTGTGGGATATAAAAAAGATTATAAGATATTACTCCTGGCCGGGCTCGGTGGCTCAGCCTGTAATCCCAGCACTTTGGGAGCCGAGGTGAGTGGATTGCCTGAGCCTGCGGGTTCGAGACCCGCCTGGGCAACTTGGCGAGACCTCATCTCTACAATAAATAAAAAACTAGCCGGGCGTGGTAGCATGCGCCTATAGTTCCAGCTACTTGGAAGGCTGAGGCAGAAGGATTGCCGGAGCCCAGCAGGTCGAGGCTGCGGTGGCCGGGAGTGACCACTGCACTCCAGTCTGGGTGACAGAGTAAGACTCCAACTCAAAAAAAGTTCGTTAGTAGAACATTTGTTAATCATTTTAGGTTCTGTGGGATATAAAAAAGATTATAAGATATTACTCCTGGCCGGGCTCGGTGGCTCAGCCTGTAATCCCAGCACTTTGGGAGCCGAGGTGAGTGGATTGCCTGAGCCTGCGGGTTCGAGACCCGCCTGGGCAACTTGGCGAGACCTCATCTCTACAATAAATAAAAAACTAGCCGGGCGTGGTAGCATGCGCCTATAGTTCCAGCTACTTGGAAGGCTGAGGCAGAAGGATTGCCGGAGCCCAGCAGGTCGAGGCTGCGGTGGCCGGGAGTGACCACTGCACTCCAGTCTGGGTGACAGAGTAAGACTCCAACTCAAAAAAAGTTCGTTAGTAGAACATTTGTTAATCATTTTAGGTTCTGTGGGATATAAAAAAGATTATAAGATATTACTCCTGGCCGGGCTCGGTGGCTCAGCCTGTAATCCCAGCACTTTGGGAGCCGAGGTGAGTGGATTGCCTGAGCCTGCGGGTTCGAGACCCGCCTGGGCAACTTGGCGAGACCTCATCTCTACAATAAATAAAAAACTAGCCGGGCGTGGTAGCATGCGCCTATAGTTCCAGCTACTTGGAAGGCTGAGGCAGAAGGATTGCCGGAGCCCAGCAGGTCGAGGCTGCGGTGGCCGGGAGTGACCACTGCACTCCAGTCTGGGTGACAGAGTAAGACTCCAACTCAAAAAAAGTTCGTTAGTAGAACATTTGTTAATCATTTTAGGTTCTGTGGGATATAAAAAAGATTATAAGATATTACTCCTGGCCGGGCTCGGTGGCTCAGCCTGTAATCCCAGCACTTTGGGAGCCGAAGTGAGTGGACTGCCTGAGCCCGCGGGTTCGAGACCCGCCTGGGCAACTTGGTGAGACCTCATCTCTACAATAAATCAAAAATCAGCCGGGCATGGTAGCGTGCGCCTGTAGTTCCAGCTACTTGGAAGGCTGAGGTGGAAGGATCACCGGAGCCCAGCAGGTCGAGGCTGCGGTGGCTGGGAGCGGCCGCTGCACTCCAGTCTGGGTGACAGAGTGAGACTCCACCTCAAAAAAATAAAAAAATAAAAATAATAAATAAGATATTACTCCTGTGTACTCCTAAAAAGACTGAAGAGACTGAAAGGAAGATTAGTTCAGGCAAGTAGGATGAAGGGCACAGGTTGAGGAGGTGTCTTGGTCTACTTGGGCTGCTGTACCAAAATATCACAGACTGGGTGGTCTGTAAACAGCTGTTTCTGGTGGCTCTAAAGGCTGGGAAGTCCAGTGTTAAGGCTCTCACAGACCCAATATCTGGGAAGAGCCTGCTCCCTGGTTCTTAGATGATGGCCATCTCCCCCCTGTGTCTTTATATGGCAGAAAGGGCAACAATGATCTCTCTAGGATTGCTCTCACTTCCTTTTTTTTTTTTTAGTCAGTTTCTCACTCTGTCACCCAGGCTGGAGTGCATGATCATGACTCACCTCAGCCTCCAACTTCTGGGCTTACATGATCCTTTTGCCTCCATCCCAAGTGGTTGGACGTAGGCGTGCACCACCTGGCTAATTTTTCTGGTTTTGGTAGAGACAGGGTCTTGCTTTGTTGCCCAAGCTAATCTCGAACTCTTGGTCTCAAGCAGTCTTCCCGCTTGGCCTCCCAAAGTGTTGGGATTGCAGTTGTGAGTCACTGCACCCTGCTCTAAGCTGTCTTTTATAAGGGACCAATCCCACTCATGAGGACTTGATCCTAATGACTTAATCACTTCCCACAGGCCCCGCCTTGTAATAGCATCACCTTGGTGGTTAGGATTTCAGCGTTTAAATTTCAGGGGTACAGGAGGACATGAACATTCAGTTTATTGAGAAAGGGAAGAGAAGGAGAAAAGCCCTGGCTTCTTGTTGGATTGCTGCCTCCCTTAGTTCTGTCTTTGTTGATGGTTAGCCCCACTGCTTCCTTCGCCTCTGCTCAGTTCTTCCTGAGTGTATATCCACCAGCATCCAGCACAGATACTCCCATGACAAGTCTGCTGTCATGGACTGTCACCATCAGTTTTCCATGGCAGGAAAAGGAATTACCCCTGTTGCTTCTCCTCTGTTGTCACTGTGGTATATTGCGGGTTGCTTTGTAAATGTTGCTGGAATGCTTAGAACTTTCCTCTTGGCATAAAGGGCTGCACTTTTGCTTTTTAAAATTTATGGAGTTGATAAAATGTATGTATCCTGAAGATTCAGCTTAGAAAAACTTTAAAATGTCTATGAGCAAGGCTCTGATTCTCATTAACTTGTTTATATCAACCTTAAAACTATTTTGTTAGTTTTATGTATTGAGGCCAGGTGTAGTGACTCATTTCTGTAATCCCAGCACTTTGGGAGGCTGAGGTGAGATGATTGCCTGAGCCCAGGGGTTTGAGGCCAGCCTAGACAACTTGGTGAGACTGTGTACAATAAATCCAACAATTAGCCAAGTGTGGTGGCATGCGCCTGTAGTTCCAGCTACTTGGAAAACTGAGGCGGAAGGAGTGTTCAAGCCAAGCCAGTCAAGGCTGCGGTAGCCATGAGCATGCCACTGCACTCCAGCCTGGGTGACAGTGAGACTTTGGCTCAAAAAAAAAAGTATTGAAAGTTAAGAACTACTGTTTAGTGTTATAAATATTATTTAATTATATCATCAGTTATCTTGATGTTTTACTGAATGCAGATTTCTTTTTAAATATGTGTGCAACTTTATAAAAGTATATATTTGTGGAAATAGATGTGTAAATCATGTATTTTTCCTTTTCCATGAAAGGGACAAGATAAAATGTAGTATTTTTTGTACAAAGGAAAAAAAAGTAGAAAAAGTTTTCTTTTTCAGTAGACTTGTAACATGATCTGTAACAATTTCTTTTTTAAGTTTGGCATGATTTTTAAGAGTACAGGACTAAATAGGTTATATAAGGGGGTGTCCCAAAACAACCTGGAATTTATTTATTTAAAAAAGTTTATTCTTACATGTTTAGTCACCTTCAAAGTACTTTCTATTTGATGCAATTTATCTGTTGTGATACTTTTTCTCCTTGCTCTACACAGTTTTTTAGCTTATCTATTTTGATGCCTTTCAGTGCTTCTGTGGTTCTTTTTTTCCACCTCTTCCATGTGGGCAAAACTGCTGAACATACAGCACAGTGTGGGCAGGTGCTGTGGAAGAACCAGTTACCTGTTTGCCACAATTCAAGATGTTCTGCAAATCCTGATGTGACCTTAAAACTTGCAGATAAAAATCTGTATTTGACCGTTTGATTCGGAGGAACAAATTCTGAGTACGCTACAAGGGATCTGTCCTCCAAAAGATAATTCTGTTTTTTTGGGGTCTTCTTTGTATATGAAATTGTCCAGAGCAAGATATGTGCTTTGGTGTGATCCTTGTGTTCTTCTTCTT